GTATAACATTTTTTGAATCTTGCTTTGCAGCGCTAAGTTTGGCGGGCTGTAACTCTAAGACGGATTATTCAAATGCCAAATGTTATATAACATTGAACTTGCAATGAAACAGAGATTAATATGTATTTTTGAAATTTCGAAAAATTCGCTTTTTTGATATATGACATATCGAGTTTTCTTTCATTTGTATTTTTTGGACTTTGGGACCAATTTTTTTTTAATTTTTTATTTCTTTAAAAAAATATTTGGCTCATTGTTAAGAAGTATGCAAAAAATTAGGAAGGTGTTCTTTCTATAAATATATTTATTTTACGTTACGATAACGGTTTCGAATAGTAATTTCGGGAGGGGAGCTTACAAATGGCGTGGTAAAGCTGCCTAGTGACATCACGGGTTACTGAAATTTCAATTTAAGTCTGTCATCTGAAAAAAAGTGAAAAGAGGGTTGATCCAACCCTCTTTCCTATAAGCGCGAGGGTGAAAAAGGCTGTTTGGTTCTGACATTGTTTTGGACGCCAACGACCATAGCTGTCCGAGATGAAAGTTACAGGACTCATACATGGTGTCCTCCAGAGGTCTCACAACTTGTATATCTGGGAATTTTTAAGGTTACGTGAGGTCAGGTCGGTCACGTGACATCACTGTTATAAGTCAATGGGGAAATACAAAAACTGTTATTTTGGCGCCGAGAATGATCAAAAACTATCCCACGTACATGGCATCGTGATTTCATGCACTTCTTGCAAAGTCCAATGCTTTTCTTTTGCATTGGTCGTCATTTATGACGTCACTAGGGTCGTACGAGTTTTTCGTCAATAACTCCCGATCAAATGGAGCTAGAGAGTCGGGAAAGCCACCAATGGACTCGGGAAGACCTTCCGAATCGAATGATATGCCATATGATACCCTTTGCCCAGCTTCGTGACCTGAAGGGCTCTGACCTGACCTTGATCCTAGGTCAACTGCTTAAGTTGACCTCACCCTAGCAAAAAGTATACCATTCGATGCACCTGAGCTAGGCGAACACAATGATGCCAAAATCGCGGCTCTGCGGCCATTTTTTGCGAAGTTATTTACTAAAAACCGAACCCGTAACTTCAGTCACTTGACCTGACCTCAGACGCTACCGGTTAAATTGAGACCTTAAAATCGGGTATCAATCGCTGCGACTTGTTGCGGCACACACGCTCGTTTTTTTCCGCGAGGCTCTAGCTCTATTAGAAGCGAAACGGCGTGCTGGGATCGTGTCAACCCCTCCGAAACCCATTTTATTTGCGGGAAAATGAGGATTTTATAGAAAGAACACCTTTCTAATTTTTTGCATGTCGATTTGCAATGACATGAAGTTTATTTTGAAAAAAAATAAAAATTTGAAAAATTTGGGTCCCAAAGGTCATTAGAGGCAAATGAAAAAAGATTAAGGTTTTTGCTCAACAAAGAAAATTTTTCTTTGGAATTTTTAAATGGTAATATTAATTTTTGATTCATCGCAAGCTTAGTGTTGTTGACTGTTTGTTGGTAGCTTAACCCGTTCTTGAGTTATAGGCCATCTAACTCACCGTTACAAACCGAAGTTAAAAAAATGCAATGCAATATAACTAAAAAAGTTTTGATCTGAGAAGTCTGATATTTTGCCAGGCGTCTTTGGGGCCTATGATTACCCCTAGGACGGATTTTCATTAAAATCTGAGAGATGAGGGTGACGGGCCTGGTACGATCTATCGTGGAATGCCCCACCTACCACACACAAGTTCATGATCCCCACGAACCCACATCAGCGTCCGTTCGCTTGGTGTGTGACCCCTTGACCTTTGGCCGCGACAACTGCCAGCTTGCTGGAGCACCCCTCCCTACACGCGCTGCCCCGCCCGCTCCCCTCCCTCCCCCCCCCCCCCCCGGGTCGTGTCACGAAGGTTCGGGCTTACGCTACTACCGGCCGCTGCGCAGCTGTCACCTAGCGCTTGGGAATGTGTGGTCTGGTGCGGATTCAGCCAACTACCGGCTCGCGACACCAGCGCCACGTAGTGGTGACGGTACATTCTTTTTAGACACACTGTACGCTCTGTTCGATGCTTTCCATGTTTGTGAGTGGGGACCAGAGGAACTGGGATGAGGTCCTCCCAAAGGTTGTGTTCGCATACAACACGAGCGTACACAAGTCTACGAACATGACGCCCTTTTCAGTTTTCTTTGGTCGGTCAGCTCGTCTTCCGTTGGACGTCGTTTGTCATGCTGACAAATGTCCAGCAGCGCCAGTAGCGTGCGGTGTCGATCAGAACCAGATTCGAGAGAAGGTGGGCAAAGCAATCCAAGAGGCAGCAGCTTTGAGGGCAGCGAGTCGGACCGATCAGGTCAACCAGTTGACTTACCAGGTGGGTGATTTCATATGGGTCCACAAACCGGTTAGGACTGTCGGAAAGTCCCCCAAGCTGCAGCGGCCGTGGTCGGGCCCGTTCGTGGTCATGGAGATCTTGTCTCCCCAGTCCTATCGCGTGAAAGAAGAGGGCAGCCGGAAGTCGTTTGTTGTTCATCATGACCGTATGAAGCCATGCACGTGTAGGGAAGATGACGGCTACGTGGTCTTGGCACAGTCACCGGAGATCCCTCACGATGCCTCCACTGGTGGTGCTGGGCATTCACCGTTGTCAGATGGTGAGCCTGAGGTCCCTGGCGCTCAGTCGGATTCGGATGGTGAGATCCCTGGCGCTCGGTCGGATACCGGTGCCACGCGTGCGCGTCCATCGGGGGCTGGACCGGCGCATGATAGCGACTTGGAGTTGACTGTCCCACAGTTGACTGTGATGGGTTCTGTGCCCTCAACTGCAGTCGGGGTGCCTGAAGACTCGACTGACGGTCGTGTTCAGGCTGTTGTGGACGCGGGGCGGACGGAGCTTCCTCGAGATGACGAAGGGACCGGTGGTTCGTCGCCTGTGACTGGAGCCACGCCGGTAGCTAGATGCGGGGGGTCTGATCACGACGAGCCCGAGTTAGCGTTGATTGGGGAGGGGGCTGTGGTTGGGCGCCGAGAGGATAATAGAGGCGCTGCGGAGACTCAACCGGGGGAAGCTGAATCTGTGCCAGAAGCTGTAGGAGAGGGTGGAGGGACTGATTCTCACTCATCGGTGAGCGAATCCCGTCCCGTTACTGATGTACCAAGGAGGGGGACAAGGAGCAGGGCGTGTCCAGACCGGTTTGGAGAATGGATTTATTTCTGATTTTGGTGTGTTTGCTAGTGTTAAGTGTCCCAGTGTCGTGAGAATGATGGGTCCGCGATTGTTTGCATAGCACAGGCCTTGAGCCGATGGCTGTGGGACGTTGTCCTTAAGCGTTTAGGATGTGCCACGCTCGTGGAGCGGGGGTTGGCGCGTGCACTGTGTTCACCCCGTCAATATGCCTTGCCTTTGCTGCGGGGAGAAATGTGATAATGGATTCCTGGCTGCATGGAATGTGGATGGTTTGTGCTATGTGCCTGGGCATGCTCTGGTGGGATTGGGCCCCTGCATGGCGCTGCATGTGACGAGCGCTTGTGCATGTCTGCAGCTACTGATTTGGGGTCCCTGTTTCCAGGATAGCTTGAGCGTGCTGGGCTGCTAAGTAAATACAGTTCTTAGAAGAAGAGGTCTTTACTACAATATCAACTCATTTTTCTGTTCGTACGGAATACAAAACAGACATGCTCACTGCTCACGCATCATCTGCAGTTGTTTCCATCTCTTAACTCAATGTCGTTTTCCCCGCGTTTCCGCTCTGCCACGCCCTCGGCGCCGGCGAAGTTCTGTGGCCTCCGTGGCCTGTGATTCCGCCGGTCTCGGTCTGCGGAAGACCTCCGGGACCGGTGCCTTACCTATCATCCGGTGCCTTACCTATCATTTAGCGGTCACGGCGGGCCTGGCATTACACCACTACGCAACAAACCCTTCCCCATTTCTGGACCGGCCGGCGCCGTCGGTCGCGGGGTCGGCGCGGACGGGGCTCTCTGATGACGGATAATTGCCGCCGACGCGCCGTAATTGTACCCGGCGCCGCATCTCGCCGCGGTGACGGCCAAAGTGGTGCCGGGGGCGGCGGTGCTATCCTGAGGTTAAATGTGGAGATCTGCGTCCCGGTAATCGGGGGTTAGAGGCTCGACTTTCCAGCGGTGGATTAAATTGTCACTTTGGCTAGCCGTGGGGCACAAAACGGCTTATAGGTATAGCCAAGGTATAGCCCTGGAATTAGCTTCAAAGTAAGGAACTGCAGTCTGCAATTAGGCCATACCCACCGCTGCTGCCTCCGTCGAGCAAAGACAAACAACCGGAACAACTGGAATTTCCTGTCGAGTCGAATTCCACTTGTAAGTTCAATACCCGACAACATGGCATAGTCTATAAGAAATATAGGCGACCTGGGTTTTCTCGTGATTACTCCAGAACGTTATTTAGCGATAGGAGCTGAAAGTTCGGGTACCTGACCTCTAGTTCAATCTGGATCTTTTTTTTACATAAACTGCCTTTCCGGTCAAGTTAGGTCACTGACCTTTGACGTCTACTCTTGAGTAGAACTCAGCAGTCAGCACTGCTCCTAAAATGTCGAAATTTCGCTGCGCGCTCAGTGTCCGAAAATCTTTCGAGGAGAGAGTGACAGTACGAACCCAAATGTATCCATGAATCTTCTCGTGGTCACAGGTCACCTTCACCAGCCGCTCAAATGGTCACGTCGGACTGGCGCCGATTTGAGCCTCCACTGCCCTCCACTGCCCTGTGCCGGCTGTCACTTTTCCGACGTCTGGTGGGTGACCGTTGTCCCGAAGCAGGGAATTCATAGGTCAGGGTCCAGGGGGTTGATGGTGAATTCGTCCGGAGGATAAAGGGCGAATGATTTCCCCATGTCGGTATAGCGCCCACTCGTCCTCACGGGAGCCCCTCTGCCGGCGCGGCGGCCAGCCGAGCGCTCCCCTGGCGGTGGTGAGCGGAACTAAGACGACCGCGACTCGGTCAGCGCGCGGCGGCGAAATCAGACCGAGTTGTGCCGCGAGTGGGGGTGCGTGTGGCGCGTGCGGAAGACGCGGCCTGTGCAGTGGGCGCTCCAACCATGGCCTGTGAGTGCGAGTCGCGACCTGTGCGCATGGCGACGCTACTCAAACGCTGGAAAATGCGCATGCTGGGAAAGTACAAGCATCTGTCAGGTAAGACGGCGCCCGGATCGGGCTGCGGAGAGGCGAGACTGCCGGGTGATTGAATGAATGCTGAAAAGTTCTAACGCGATTCAGAGCTTCTGTTAGACGTGTGGACGATAACTTCTGAAAACTATATGCCATATTAGTTCATAATATCGCGAGGGTGTCTAAAGCACGTCAGGGCGTATTTTAACATGTAACTGGGTCGGCAATTGCCGACCCAGTCACGGAGAATGCCGACCCAGTTGCCGCCCCCTCTAGGATGCAGCACGCACATGCAGGCTAGGTGCCGTAATTCATAGTGAAGCTGCTGCCCTCCGAAATGATAATGCCGCCTCTTAAAGTGAAGCAGCCGTCTATAGAAAGTGATGATCCCGCAACTCAATGTGACAGTGCCGCCCCTAAATCTGTTAGTAGTCCCACTCAATGTAATGGTGCCGCCCTTCTAAGCATCTGTGGAGCCCCTCAATGTGACGATACCGCCCTCAAGAAGATGATGCTGCCCCTTTCAGTATAGGTGGCGCCCCTCGTGAAGATCATGACCTTACGTCATCGTTGCATATTGCTTATGACCGGATGGAGCATACTTCAACCTACCGACATGACAAAAAAAGTTGTGGAATACCTATGTTTGCTGTAAGGTATTAAAAACGCCGACGAATTCTGAAAAAGTAGCAAGTCACGTGTGTAGGTAATGGGTTGCAGCCTGTTTCGGACTAAGTTCAATAATTTACAATCAAATACGGAAGTTTGTGATCACAAACTGCCTCAGTCATGGACATTGGACATTCAACATTAATGATCAAGCTTATTTTTATCACCTACCTATTAATGGAATTGGGCAGGTTAAGAAAGTAAATGCAGCAATAATCTTTCAATAATTGTTGCTTGTCATTCGTAACATCGTTAGTCGTATTAAACATGGTTTAGCACTAACGCTTTACGTAAACGCTCAACGATTTTAACACGATTTTTAGACTAGCAACTTACGAAAGGTCGTTGATGCATCTGTCCTATCACTTCATCATACAGTTTACATAGCTTACGTAGCCTGTGGCTGCAGTTTCTTCCGGGATTATTTTATTCACTGCTCATTATGGGGGACATATCCTGTCCACTATCCAGTACGGTCCACTTTGAAATGTCCGTGAATCTTAGAAACCGCAGACTGCAGAGGGTCAAAGCATATGCCTAATGTTCCGAAGACCGTTAAACGTCCTGAAATGTGATTGTGAGCGTTTTCAATTTGCCTCTGGTAATAGTTATGGGTACGTTCTACGCAATCGCATGTTCGGTAATGGCTGATCGCAAACGTTTAAAGCAATGGTGTGTTGGAAAAAATAAAACAGCCCTTAGATGTTTTATGAAGTGCCTCTCATACGCATCAATGTAAAATTTCCCGCTTTTTCGTTGGTAGTTTAAAATTTGTTAGGACATTTACGAACGATGTGCAAATGAGATATGTGCATTTTCTTGTTGTGTATTATTCAATTCTGACAGGGCAGGTAACCGCCTAAAATTTAGGAAGCATCATGACTCATGAGTGAATTGAATCGTGTTTACGCGACTCGAACGGTTTTCGGCCGAGCAGCTTATGAAGCTCCACCATCACCGAACCACCTTTCGGTTTCTCTAACGGCGTTCACGCTTGATGTGCTCTCCACCTCCATTTGTCGGCATTTTTCTGGGAGGAATTACGGCGGCCGGTCGTATTTATAGCATTGGAGCTATAAATCAGGGCGAGATGCCGGTTCACGCCGCCGTCACCGCGGCCAATTGGTGTGGGCCGACCGACCGCAGGCCGGTCTCCTGTGTGGGTTCACTGGCCGCTGACGGGAGTCCAGCGCATCGGCTGGATTCGATGGACTCGGCTGGACTCCCAGACTCCAGATCGGACGGCCGGAAACACTTGACTTTGCGAACTTTGACAAACGGATATCACTGGACTTGGGTGGGTTTGAAGTCTCAAGTCGTGCATCGCCGAACTTTGAGCGGACTCTGACGCTCGGACTCTCCTCACACGGACTCTCTCGGGTGGACTCGGTCCGGTCCGTAACCGGCGGCCACTCGGCCGGGCGGCACCCTCTGATCTTGCCGACCGTATCGGCCGGCCGGTCGGCCGGTCGGGGTGAGACACCGCGGCGCCGTCTTCAGTCGCGCGCCGCCCGCTGGCACTCTGCCAGCCCTCCGCCACTCTGTCCCCACTCTCCCACTCTGTCCGACCGACCCGGCGCGGTCATGGGTCTGTGAGCGTGACCTGATGCCCCGGGAGGCGGCGTTGGAATTGGCGATTACTGGTGCCCACCGGCTGTTCTGGGTCTATGACCGGTAAACATGAAATTAGGGCTTCGTATAATGATGGCTCCTTGATCATTAGAATATCCCCAAATCAAGGACTTGGCTATATATTTGTCTTGAAACTCTGCAATTTGACGTGCCAAAAATTGATTCGCATGTTTGCATCCAATTTAGGCTCAGACGCACAAACGTCCATTTCTAACGCTGTCAGTGCGATATGCAGTTTCCCGCATTCCTTGCATATGATCGAAGTTGCACAGTCCTCAACTTGTAAATGTCATGCGCATCCTAAAACGGCCGACCGTATTTCCTAAATCTGGCGCATACTGCGGCGTGACCTCGTCCCGATCACAGTCAACTTACGGCAAGGTCACCTGCAGCCTTGTAACACATGGTTTACACATATCACACGGTTTACTTGTACATTTGCACGGCCTTTCTGAGGTCGAGCGGATGTTTGGATTATCACTCGTGTTATTGAATGAGTCAATGACTCCTACTGAATGACCATGTTAGCATGTTTGCACTTTCATTGCCGTGTCTTTGCTTATTCCTCGGCTACGTCCCGAGCAGGACTTGTTGCCCGTGACGGCCGGTCCTTTCCGACCAGCCGCTGCCCCGTGCAGCGGTCAAATTGGTCGTGACATATTACCGGACAATCAGTCGGTCAGTCGGCCGCTTGGTCAGTCGGTCGGTTGGTAGGGGTGTTCTTTTTCAGTTCCTGTCGCTATTCACTGAGATGTGTTTACTTTATACGACGGTAGACCACAGACGGATATGCTGGCCGCTGGCCGCCGCGCTGGCCGCGTGTGCTGGCAGCTGCTGGCTGTGTGCTGTGCTGGTCCGGCCAGCAGCGACTGGCCAGATAACGTCGCAAGTCATTCATGACGGGGCTGTGTGGAAGTCTGATGTTTATGATGAGATAGCCTTGTATGGGCTCATTCATTTTCGCTGGCTGGGCATCCACTGATGATGAATTAGTTTGTGTGTCGGTCTAAGGCATTCCTTGTTATGTTATGCAAGTCTTTTCAGAGATAAGCATTGTCTCCCACAGTTCCGAAAAAGGGGAAGTAGCCTTCGATGCTGCTGCATAGTTTGACCAGTGGAGGCAGTTGTCACTATGGGCTGTTTTCACCAGCGCATTTTTTCCAATATAATGAGACATTTTCAATGCATTGGAATACGCATCACGTGCTGTCTTGTCGCATATTTAGAAGCTGGCTATATTAGAGGCTGTTTAGATCGACTCAAACGTTAGCTGTTCCTGTCGAAGGATGAAGGCAGCGTTCCGGCTCTGGTCCGAGCTCTGACGTCCCAGACTGTGACGCCAATGCCGGCGGCGGCGGCGGCGGCGGCGCCAACTCGTCCCGGGAGATGAGATGTTCCTTGGCCGGCGCCGGTCCCATATCACTGCCGGCGGGCCGCGCGGCGTCTGACGCAACCCGTCACCCAGAGAGACACACTCTGTCAGACATCGGTCCCTCCAGCGGCCGGCTCCCGTTCCTGAGCGCTCGGTGATCGCCGTGACCCGCGCCGTTCGTCCCGCCGGGCTGTGTAACGGTGATAACACGGCCGTGTTCTCTACAGAGGCCCCGCCGGACCAAACAACGGCACCTTTTATTTAGTGGCGCTGTTCCCTGCTCTGCCACCAGCGGCGGGCGGCGCCTTTGAAGCTCACACGCGCCCCGTTGCGCGGCAGGAGACCAAGTTGTCGCGAAGAGGTGTCACAATCGCGGGTCATAAACAGTGGGGCACTCCGAGTCGGCCGGCGCAGTCCCGGTGGTCTGGTGGGAGGGGAGGGGGGGGGGCTGACCGTCGGCTGACCTCGCGTCGCGCCGCGGGCGGGCGGCGCCTTTGAAGTGAGCGGCGCACCTCTGCGCCGACATGCTTTGATATGCAGATGAGGCGGCGGCGCGGCGGCTCGTACTCGGTCACCGGGGAAGGTGTGCCCGCGCCGCGCCGCATGGGCGGGCACAGGTCACCGCCGCCGCAGCCGGTCAGTTGTCACATCTCCCCCAGCATCACGACAGTCGTGCCTCCCCAGCGCGTATCGCGGTAGCTGGACACATCCATGATCAGTGCGCAGTAGCCCTCCATGCCTCCCTCCCTCCCTCTCCCTCTGAAGGTGCGAGCGGCGAGCCTCTCGGAACCACCGGCCCGCGGCGGCGGCGGCGCGGCGGCGGCCGTTCCTCGGCCGGCGGCGGCGGCGGCGGTGGGCGCTGCGGTGCGATTAGTACAGCTCCCCACCGGTGATCAAACGGACCGCGAGGCCGGCATGGTCACGGTCATTACATCCTCCCCTCCTCCCAGCGGCAAAAACGGCCGGCCCGCGGCACCTGGGTGCGGCGTACGGCAATTTGGGAGCCGGCACCGCGCCAGTGGCCGGCCGGCCAGATGGCCGCCCAAATTGACGCCTGGCACCGGAGAAAATTGGCCCTGGCCCTGATTTAGTTTGGTGGAGCCGAAGCGAGCAGTGCCGGCGGCGCGGCGCGGCGCAGCGTGGGTCTGCTCGTTTCTGCGCCGGCGGCCCGGCGGCGCGACTTTGATCTGGCTGACACAGCTGTTGTTACGCCGTCACGGAGATGTGACGTCACTAACGCACCGTGACGGGCCGACTGGCGCACCGGCTGGCGCACTGGCGCTAAACGGCTCCTAGTGTAGACGGTGTGGAAGTTTCAAAACTAAATCTTAGGAAGCGTCAACGCGCGAAGAGTGATTAATGTTCCGAAACTTTCATCCAACCACCTGTAACGCACAACCAATCTCCATCTCCAGACTCGCTCTCCATGCCAACCCACCGCCCATCCCGCCACCCACCAGCAACCCCGCCACTCCGCCTCCCTCCATTTCAGTCCCATAATCGGCTCCCAGTGCCTCGCACCCCGGCAAAAAACGGCCGTCTCAAAGCGCTCGGAATAATGACTCGGCAGGCGGCGGCGCAGACTACTCGGCCCGGGGGTCGCCGGCCGCGGCGGCTCCTTTGATGCGCTCGATTGGGGCGCCACGGGCGGCCGGGCCGGCCACGCCATCAATCAGCTATGCAAATGGCCGTGGCTCTAGTCAGCTGATGCGAGTGCCGAGCCGCGCGCCGCCGCGCCGCGAGCCAACGCGTGGTGAGGCAATGCGTCCGGCTGATGGCGAGCTAAGATGGGAGCTAAGATGGTGTCTGGTGAGAATAAAGAAGGCGGCTCTTGGGAAGCGTGGTGAGCTTACGAGGAGTTGGTAGAAAGTTGATGAGTTGTGATAGAGAGATGGGGAGCTGTGAGCCAACGGTGAGCTTTTTTGAGCTCGTGTGGTATAGCTATTGATGATAACTCCGAAGTTGTGCGTGTGATCCCATTGGTTGTGAAACTGGGTTCCTCTGAGCAGCACTTTTTTACTACTGTATGCGCTAGCCTAGCCCTCGGGATCAGAGCACCAGTTTTTCCTTCCTGCACCCGTTTTACATAATTCAGACACTGATGGTACTTACAGACCTGAAGACAAGATTCCCCTGCCCCGTGTCTGTCCTCACAGTCGTGTTCTATTTGCCGACCATCTGGACCTCCCAGCCACCCGGCCAGATGGGCTGGACACCAATGTCATTAGCCATCGCCGTCCGGCACAGCCGGCCATTTATTTCAGCCGTCTGGGCCGCGCCCGCCCGGCACATGTGTTGAACATATTGTGACCGGCCAGTCTGTGTATATCATCAGACGGGGTTGATGCCTTCGGGCTCAAATTGATGGTGAACGCTGTGAGATTCACACCTAACGCGGACCGATGGATTTGAAATGCAGCTGTCTGAGGCCAGATTTTCAGTCGGTAACTAATTATGTTTAGATGATATGTGACGAGGTGGAGGCTAATGACACGAGACAAGGTTGAGAAGGAATTGAGGAATAGGATGCCTGAGAGCATGTCGTCTTCCTATTTGCTACGGATAGGCCCGTGCTTAATTTTTGGCCTGTGTATGTGACTGAACGATATCTATGTCGACCGATATCTTGCAATGCGTTATGTGAACTTGCGACTGACTTGTCGTTTTATGCAAGGCCATAGTTTTATGCTTACGCATCATCGTATGAACTCATAAAAATATCGGTCGCCTATCCGTTTCTGATTTCTCTGGGAATTAGGTATGTGTCTTAAACGCGTCATCACAAAGCACATGTCTGACATTCATTTCCTTCTGTCGCGCAGGCATCGCGTCGGACAGCGAGTGCCGTCGCTCTGAGGTGTCTCTCAGGTCGGCGTCGTCCAGTCGCTCGGGCCCTGTCGGCGGCGACGCTCGACCCAGCCGGAGCCGGCCGGCCGCCCAGCCCTGTCAGGTAGGTCGCCTTCTGACTCCTGTCGGCACCGACACTGACAGACACCGACACTCGAAGACAGAGGAAATGTGATTGAATCCCAGAACACTCAGCTTATATGCGCTTGAGTCGTAATGTGCCACTTCTGTTCTCTACCGTCACCGTCATCTTGGGCTGGCACCGATAGCATGCTTACCTACATCGATATCGACACTGACACAGACCCTGACACCGACACTAACAGCACCATCACCAACACGACATTCGACATGGACTAAAGTACCTATGCACCAACACCACTACCAGCTCCGGCCATCACCACGGACCCCGCCTCCGAACCTACACCGGTCCTGGCCCCGACCGGCCGACCGTCTCCCTTGGCTCCCTCTGTTGTCCCGCTCGCCATTCCTGACATTCCACCGTGCATTCCGTGCGTGCCAGGTACGTTACACGGCTATCACCTCACAGGGACCGCCTCCTGAGAGACCGCGCTGCCCGCAGATTTCTAATTAGGCGGCGCGATTTCAGCGGGAGATGATGTCATGCGGTCTTCTGTTTTGGAATGTGACGAGCTGCCGGAAATTTTCGCTGCCCGGAAATAAGCGTATCGTGGTAAAATAAAGGTTATAAGAAAATTAATATCTTGTGTGCATCACCAAAAATCGGCTCAATCACATATGCAATCGCAGTTAGATCTTATTTTCGTTCAAAAGCACCGCGACGCGTCGATTTCAATTTCAGAAGCAAGAAAATCAACAGTTTCATCATTCATGCGATGAGGCAGGACTTGTGGAAGTTAGCCGATATGCGTGACTGTCTCGTCTCACGGCAACACGCTCAATGCTCATGCATCCAACATTTCTTAGCGTTCGTGCGTTTTCTCCCTCGAAAGTCGTATCCTTGTGCGTTTGTGCGTGTGCGTCTGACGCTCCCCGTGTGCCTTCTCTCGGTGGCACCTGGTCCGGCCGACGCTCCGTGACCCCCCCCCCCCCCTCCCCTTCCCCAGCCGATAGCGGCGTAAACAAAGGCGGCTCGAATGAATGGCGCAGCGCTCGGCAAACATGGCGCCCTGGCGGCGAGGGCGGCGCACTGAGTGTAACAGAGACTGCCGCGGCCGACCAGCCACAGCGCGCGATACTGGAGATAGAGAGCAAACGATCTGTGAGGATCAGAAGACTCACCGACCGCGGCGGCCCTCACAACAATCAACACTTGACGGTTCGCGCGGCCCGGGGTTCCCACGCGACGGGCTGCTTCACACGTGATGTAAAAAGGTGACGAAAGGACGGTCCACTAGATTCGATGCCTGTAGCAAGTCGGTGGTTACCGATCTTTGATCGAACTTTTCGTCGGATAAATCATACGCCTGATGTGAACAAGAAAGCCCCATTGCTTAATGTTCGGCGTCGTTACCGTAAACATCATATCAATCAAAACGATCGTCGATCATCCGAAACTGAGTGCCGATGAGACCAAATATGGGTCTCGTAGACTCTGCCACAGTAGGACCATATATAGGCAGCCGACGGATCGGTCCCAGGTGACACTAATCCAGCCTGTACTACGAGACACGAGTTGACCCGTCCTCAGGGACCTGGCCCTCCTCTACGTCAACGTAAACGCTAAACAATGAGTCAGTCTCACGAACACGACTAAAGGCTGGCTTTTGACGGTACAAGGAACATTCTGCCACATTATATTCAGACGAATTCCTGTTCCGAATGCTTTATGCTGTGGAGCTACTAGCTGTGATACTGATGTTCTGAACCCGCTCCCAAGAATGCGCGGTGCTTTTCAAGTTAATTGTCAATATGCTGCGCCGGTCCCGGGGGTCGGCATCCCGAAATCAAATCGGAACCGCCAAGGTCAAGTATTCCGGCAACTCGTTCGGCGCTCTTTGATGTTGCCGATGGAGGTAGATGTAAATTCCGCTCAGTCGTACACGCCCCGTGTGGCGCGCTAGTTGGGGCATGACTGTTCAGTGTTACTGCTGTCCCATGTCCACTATCCACGTCCACAAGGTGTGTCCAGTGCCGTGTCCACATCCATTGTCCACCGGACGTCCACTTCCACTGCACGTCACACCTCACGGGTCATGCATCTGTGGCATGTCGGCGCCCTTTGTTGTGTAAGGCGTGTCGCGGTGACCCGATCCCCACCCGTGACCTCTGACCCGACTTCCGGTCGGCGGGCTGGCTCAGAGGGTTCGACAACAGTCACAGGACAACAGGCCACGACACGGGATACGGGCAGGTCACCTGAGCCGCCGCCGGCGTTCGCCGGGTCTGAGGCGCACCTGGGTGAGCCCTGAGACGGGCTGACGCCGAGCAAACGCTACCTGGGTCATGGCTTTGGTGCTCGGTAGATCGGGTAGGGCGGGCAGAGGCCAGGCCGAAATAAATTTGAGCCTGCAATGTAAAATAAAATTATCAAGAAAGGTGCCAATAGCAGCGATGTAATGCAAAATGCAAGACATTAGCGATACTTAAGTTAGTGGCAACTGGCAACGCTGGAATTAGGAAGCCCCAGCCCAGTGCCCGCGCGCCTGCTTTGAGCATGCACCTCGCTTACGTTTGCGCGCTCACGAAGCTGGCAGTGTGCCCGGCGAATCGTGCCAGTTACGGAGTCAGAACGAGGCCAGCCCGGTCTGACCTAGCCCAAGGAGGTGCTGTCGGCACAAATCAGCCTCCCGCTGGTCGACTGACCGACCGGCTGACTGCCGCCTCTCGCAGCTGGCCAGCGGGAAGCGCAGAGGGGCGCCAGCGGAGACGGAAAGAGAGAGAGAGAGAGAGAGAGAGAGAGAGAGAGAGAGAGAGAGAGAGAGAGAGAGAGAGAGAGAGAGGGAGACGAGGTCGGAGTGGCGTCAGTGGCGTCAGAATGGCTGCTTCCGGCGCCCGCTGCGCTTTGGAGCGGCCCTCGCCCCTCCCGTGGGGGCTGTGCCGGCCTTGAGACGAGAGAGAGAGAGAGAGAGAGAGAGAGAGAGAGAGAGAGAGAGAGAGAGAGAGAGAGAGAGAGAGAGAGAGGGAGGGAGGGAGGGAGAGAGAGAGAGAGAGAGAGAGGGGGGGGAGGGAGGGAGAGCGATAGAGAGATAGAGAGAAGGTAGAGTGAGAGAGGACTATAGGAGGGGAGGAAGGAGAGAGAAGCAGGGAGAGAGAGATAGAGAGGCAGGGGGAGAGAAAGAGATGAGAGAGAGAGAGAGAGAGAGAGAGAGAGAGAGAGAGAGAGAGAGAGAGAGAGAGAGGGAGGAAGAGAGGATAGGAGGACGCGAAGTGTTGTCAGCCAAGCGAACTTCCTGTGAGGTTTTAGCCAAAATGAATGGAGCGGAAGACGCCCTGCTGCGCCGGAAACTAACCGGATGTCGGCCTCTGTCAGAAGAGACCGGCTCTAAAATAAACAATGTCTGCATATGGTGACTCGACCTTTGCCCCATGTGCTCCATGGAGATATACTGACTCTGTGAAGTGACCTGCTGCCCAGTTCTTCTGTGCCCTATATATGCCATATGGTGACCTGACCTGACCTATCGCTTTGCGCTCAGGCCGGTCGCGGCTCGTGCGCTGTGTAGTGACCTAACCTGACCCCTCGCTGTGCCCCCACGGCCCACGGTGGTCACGGCTCATGCTCTATGTAGTGGCCTGCTGCCCATTACCTCTGTGCCCTATACATAGTGACCGTCACCTAACCTGACCTCTCGCTTTACCCTCAGGGTTAGTGACCTGACCTGAGTCCTGACCCCTCGCTGTGCTCCCAGGGCGCCAGCGGCTCTTGCTCTGTGTAGTGACCTGACCTGATCTGACCTGACCTGACCCCTCTCTGTATCCTGAACGTGGTCGCGGCTCTTGCTCGTGTGGTGACCTGACCTGACCAGTGACCTCTCGTTGTGCCCCCAGGCCGGTCGCGGCTCGTGCTCCAGCTTTCCGCGGACGGCCCGTCGTCGACGAGCTCCTTTGGTCAGAGCCCAGGACACGGAACAGCAGCCTGGCCGGCCCGCAGCCAAAAACGAGTTCAGCTTTACCCTGTACGACCTGGACGGACAGGGCTGCGTCACTCAGGATGTGAGTATTACGGTCATTTACCTACAATGTAGCCAATCATACTCGTTCTGTAATCTTTGACTGTGTGCCGTCGATAAAACTGAATATGACTCGTGCCTTAGATGGCATAAAAGCTGAGATCGAGCTCTTGTTTGTATGAATGAGGATCCCGATCATTGATGATTATTCATCCGTGCACTACCTCTAAAAACACACGTTGCAATGACATCGTTATCGAAAGCTAGCTAAACATCCCCCGTCCCATCCTAACAAACCGTATCATCGGTCCTCAAATAAATCCTGTCGTTGAATGAATCACTGCATGATTCGCTGCGCGGAGGATCATCTGCTTTGCTTGTTCGGGCCCCCGTATATGCGGTTGGTCGGTGCAGTAGTGGTCGGGTGGTCGGGGGGGGGGGGGGGCGGAGGGGGATCAAAGGAGCCGCCAGCAGGATGTGCTCGGTCGGAGGTCGTTGGACTGGTTCGGGTTGTACTACGGGGAGACAACTCACGACAGTCGTTCGAGGGGGAGAGGGGGGGGGGGGGTATAGTCGCGGCTCCGGAGTTGAAAGACAGCGCAAAGTGGTTTGTTGCAAAGACGTGGATTAGGGAATTGAATTGATAGTGTAGCGTTTTGATCGATTTGTACCCTGTCGCCACAGCCCTGCGGTTGAAAGAAGTCGAAAAGGGGTAACTGAGCGGGAGAAATGCTAGCAGATAATCTGCCATCCATGATTCATAATCCATTTCATTGGTTAATGCATACAATGTTTCAGTGTTTTCGCACTTCGACATGAGCAGCCAGGGGTGTCGTTTTCCGAAAATGATTGGTAGTGCCCAAAGGCGGCGGCTGGCCATATATGACGGGGCTTACAAGGTAGGGTACCCCCAAATCTGCCTTTCTCATCGGATTTCGGCCACTTATTTTTCGCCCTGGTCATTGACAAGACTAACCGAAATCTAAAAAAAAAAAAACACACAAAAAAACTTTGGAAATCTGGGTCCACACCGGACGCCATGCACAAAACGTGCAGTTATATAGGCAATAGTGTCGGAGGAATGCACGCCATTCTGAAAGAAGCCCACATCGACTTAAAAGGACGGCTGTGCTGAAAGGGGACAGGAACAGCTTTGAGGGCCCAAGCCGACTAAAAAAGACGGCTGCGGGGCCAGGAACGGTTTTGAAGACCCACGCCAATTGAAGGGTTCGACAACTAACGAGGACTGGAAACACAACGATAGTTAGAAAGACCTGCTTGCCAAAATAAAAGGATGACAGTACGAGGGGCGTTCAGAAAGCTACGGGCCCGACCATGAAGGAGCAGAGAGATACAGTATCGACTCATTAGACCAAAAAGTTCATTTATTCAAATAAACACCGTTAAGACAAACACATTTCGCGCAGCGCTTCGCGAGAGCCCTCAAGGCCTCCATAACCAAGTGGGTTTTGGACCCATCCTGCACGTCCAAGACGGCTGATTTCGTCTCCCTGCTGTTAGCGAGGTTGCCGCTGCTAATTTTCTTATGTTGGGGAAGAGGTGGCAACCACTAACCAGGGTGTGCAAGGTTCGGAGAGAAAAAAAGTGGATGCGACAACAACTCGAAGCTCATCGCTTCACTGTTCGTCATCCCGCCCATGTACGCAGGTGCGTGGTCGCGGATCAGGTGCACACTTTACGTCAGCTTCCCTATAGCCTCTCCTCGATGTTTGTCGAATGGACGCACATCATCAATTGTGTGCCCCTGTTTTGGAAAGTTGACGAGCGGAGGGGGGTCGCATCGACCCCTCCCCCTGCCTGGCCGTGTTATGAAAAATGCCCAGGGCGAGGGTTAACGCTTGGTGCCTTTTCTGCACTAACTACTATGAAACGAATCACTGCTCTCTTCTGGGCGTCGCCCATCCATCCTATCCGAAATGGCGAACTATGCTACGAATAGAAGCCCGAATCAATCACAGAGGAGACTTAATTAATGGCCACTTACTTAATTTGCGTAAGTGGACATCCCAATAACACATCATTTAACACACCGCCTTGCAGGCCAAAATTCCAACTCCTTCATTGTTCGGCCCGAAACTTTTTGAACGCCCCTCGTAGTTACGAGCTTCAGTTTTCGGGGTCTGATGCGGTAATGACCTGGCGTTGAACCCTGGGGAATCAGGCTGCATCACCCACTCAAATCAATATACCTATGGCCTATTCTGGAGCACCGCGGCACCTTCCGAAGTCGGTGTAGGGCCTCCAGCGGCTGGTGTGGAGACGGATCGGGGTCTATTAGGGGCGGTCGCGTGGTAGGTATGCGGGACTCAGAGGCAGTTATGGACCTCTATAACCAATTGCGTTTTCGAGCCTCTTAAAATCCATTAAGGACCGGAGTCCTAGACACGTGAAACCTCATTGTCAGCTACATGCACCTACTGTGGCTAGAACCTTATTTATGTACTTGCATATGTGCTTATTTAATATTTGCTTATCTGTTTATTTTGATTTTTTATCAACTGATAAGTGACAAAAGATTGGTAGGGCTCAGCGAACATTGGTAGGGCCCCGCCCAAATAAACATTGGTAAGGCTCGGGCCCTACCAGGCCTATACAAAACGACGCCCCTGACTATTGTGAAACTTGGTAGGTAGGTAGGTAGGTAGGTACCACATAACTTGAAATTACTTGACGTAATGACATGATGTGGAAAGTGAAAATGATGCCTAGGTATTGATGGAAATTTATGGACTTAGGTACGCTACAAGAAGATTGAATTGGTCAACCAATTCAAATTCAATCTACTTGTGGAGTAAGTCTATAGATTTTCATCAATAGTTACCACTTACCATTGAAGTTACTTGCTATCATGTTGATTTTATACATAAGAACCTCATTCATTTTATTTGTATGACATGTTTGAATGCAATTTTCTCAATAAGTGAAGAAAAATGTTGGTAGTGCTCAACAACACATTGGTAGTGCTCAGCTGAACATTGGTAGTGCTCGGGCACTCCCAGGCCTATACAAAACGACGCCCCTGTGAGCAGCCCTGCGATAGGTTAAACATGGTAAAACCCAAATTGATAGGATCAACTGCCGGCTGACCTTCACAAAGCTGCGGCCATGACCACATCAACCCACCCATGACACTGTACTGATTCAACGCTGATCCCCACTGAGCGGGTTAGTCTCTGGAGCTGTCCAAAGTCACAGTATTCCCGAAATCCTATCGGTGCGTGCAAAAGGCTCACACGGATGAGTCATTGACTGACCTGCACGCTGACAACCCAGTGACGTCACTCGCACACCAGTGACGTCACGTGCACGGCGGACGGCGGGTATCATTACACCCCGCCGTTCGCAGGGCCCCGGGCGGCCGTTTGCCGTGTAGCGCCGGTGCGTTTATTGGCTGACCGCGCCGGGGGCCGTCCTCCACTACCGCCGGAATGTGACAATGGCTCCGGTCCGTCCGGAGTGCGGCCATCTCCGGCCGTATCTCCGGACGGCTCCGGACTGCAGACACACCCTGGAGCGGCGGCCATCGCCGCGCCGGCCGGGGCCGCGCTCCGGCAGATGTTATACCGGCCGGGCACGCACACAGCACGCCCGCGGCACGCCAATGACCGTAGCGTGACGTGCCCCGGGCGGTCCGTTACCGAGAGCTGCCGCAGGCGGGCAGGTCGGCGGCTCAGGTGTGCTACAACTGCTACAGGGGAAGTGGTGTTATCATCATCACCATCATCGTGAATCGTCGCTGGAAGAAGCGGCGGCGGGATCAAAAGGGCCGCCCCGACCAACATACCCTTGCCTCGACCCACGAGAAAACTGTTCTGTGGAAAGTCGCGGAGGTCGAGCTGCGGGTCTGCTTTGACTTTCTCGTAAATCTGTCTCATCGTATCATGTTCGCGGTTGACCTTTTCTGTTAACATTTTATGCAGAAATTCTGTCTGGACTTGACGCTCTGTGACCGCTTCGCTTTTGTGTTTTTTTTGCGCCAGAGTTTTAAAATCAAACCGTGTTTTCCACATCGTCATAAATCGCTTACTCACCAAGCCCGTTTTCCCGTTCACGATACACTTATCCACCCTTTTACGCGATTACGCTAAGCTATGGAGGCCTCCACCTTACGCTGCACAATGTTGTTTTCGCAGGACATTGCTGGACTCGTGCGGACCATATACGAGCTGGTCGGCTCGTCCATGGACGTACCCGCTGGCGGCGGCAAGACCATCAACGTGCGGCTTACGGTGACCCCCGAGCCGCCGCCCCCGCCGCCTCCCCCGCCCGCCGGGACTGAGGCGGCGGTGGAGCGCCGGGCTCCCCTCGCACTCCCGACCAGCCGCCGTGCCGCCCAGCCCACGTCACCTGTGATGTCAGAGATGACGTCACAGTGTCGACGACGTCACCTGACGTTCGAGCCGCCGGCGAAGAGGCATCTCACAGAGCTACTCAGGGACAGCATGGAGAAGAACAACGTGACCTACAACAACGTGGCCAGCTACACCAACGTCAAGTGAGTGTCGAATATCGAGGCTGTCGAGGCTTTGGCTCATCAGTCGGAAGTGATCGTACGTAAATATCGTAAAGATCGTACGTTGGTCGTACGTAACTACATACGTTGTAGGCCTAACCGCACGATATGCCTTTTAGACGGAAATCTCTTTTTTTTTATAAAACTGTTTTGTAACTGTCCGGCCAGGAGACAAGAGGGTCGTTGTGTTCTTCCACATATCCTTCCATTTTCAAAGAAAAAATTGAAGTCTTTTTGACTTCGCCAAGATGCTACGGCACCTTCCGGTCCCCATTTCTTGGATTTACCCCACCAAACACTAGCCCAGAATGCGCGTGTTATTGCCATCACGGCGCTGTCGCCCATGGCCCTGCGTCGTCTGGACAGTTAGCGGTCTGCCTTCCGCCCCCCCCCCCCCCCGGCCGGAACGAGCCGACCAGAGCCCGGGCTCCTCGGAATGCGCAGCGCTCTTCCAGCGAGCGGCGCGGCGGCTGCGTGTCCTCCGCCGCTCTGCCCGGGCCGCGGGCGTGAGGCGCTCCCCTCTCTCCCTCCTCGGCGTGCCTCAGTCGCCGCCGCCGCCTTTTGTTATGCCGGCTGATGGGCCCGCCCGCTGCGAGCCGGGGATGGCGCCGTGCGCCGCGTCACCGGCGCGCCCAGCGCAGACGCAGGGGAGGTTGGCCCACGGGGGGGGGGGGCAGTGGCGGAGTCAGGGTCGAGTGACGAGACTCAGACTCAGACATTTATTGAGGTGCTCCACTTGGGGCGGCTTTTTGGGGAGAGGGAAAAGGGAGGAAGAGCCGCCAACACATTCACAGGCTCATAGGTGGCAGGATATTTGCCATCCAGGCTTGGGTCAGAAGCGGTATTTTGCCATCTCGTTTGATAATGTACTTTTCGACCACTGACCACAAGCCAGGCCGTGATTTGAATTTCCCTTTTTCCTACTTTTGTTTGTCCGTGTGCGCGCCATTTTGCGTGAGGGTTCCGTTGAACTGTGACCTATTTACTGGTCCGTCTGGGACCCCTGGGGGGGGGGGGGGGGGCAGCCGGAGGGGTTGTCCCGAGGGAGGGGGTTGCGCCGGCAGGGGTGTCTCGGCTGCCCCATGCCTCTTCCCTCCCCTCCCAGTGGGGGGTCTGTCCCCTGGGTTGGCACGGGTCGGGTCGGACTGGCTTTAGGGTCCTGGCCATTGTGATATTTGCGACCTTTATCAGGCGGTGATCGGTCATTTTGGAGGTCGTTTGGCCGTCTGCCGGGGAAAGGGTGGGCTTTTTCAAAGAGTCTGGCGGCGTGCCGTAAGTGAATTGGGGGTCATTTCTGAGTTTAACGCTGATCTGTATCACTTTAACCGCCGCTTGTAAAAGCTAGGCATGTGGCCGCCGCTCCGTCCCCGTGCTGTAGGTGTACCGCTGCTCTTACGCCGACTGGAGACCACCCGTGGCTGACAGACGAACTCTCTCTGTTGCAGACGGTCTCACACGTGTCGCGAACACGTGCGCCACGGCACGTGTCGCCCCGTGGAGACGGAGAACCACTACTGCACGGTCGGCGAGCTCTTCTGTCCAAACGCCGCCGCCGCCGGGGCGGGGGCGGGGGCGGCGGTGTGCGGGCGGCCGCGGCGGCGCGCCTCCCTGCGCCGCGCCGCCCCCGCCCCCGCCCAGACGCCGCGCCAGCAGCAGAGGGATGACTACGAGCTGCTGACGCGCTGTGCAGAGTTCGCCCTGCGCGCCGAGCAGCAGGCTCGCCAGCGGTCGCGGCGCGCAGCCGGCCGGCCGCCTGGAGTGGGCGGGGGCGGGGGCGGCACGGAGCCGCCGCTGCCGCCCAGAGACAGCCGGCCCGTGCACCAGCATCACCACCGGCACGAGCACGTGCACCAGCACTATCACCACTACCCGAGCAACGTGCTCATCTTGTGAGACTGCACCATTTGGCTCGGCAGAGGGCCGAAACGGCACAGACTGGATAATGAATTGACTATTGGCTCGAAGGATGGAGCAGTTTTGGTTAAAAGGTGATGTGCATTGGTGATGTGAGTAGCATTTAAGACCAGTGACCAAGTCAGGGTTATTCTGTAATTTATATATTGTCGGTGTCGTATTTCCAGTGATTCGAATACATTCTTTAGTTGTTTTCTGTTGCCTGATTTTACTGTTCTGTGTCTTGTGAGCGTAGTGTGTCACTTTTGTAAGACTTACTCAGTGAAATGATAGCAATGTTGGTGCTGAGGATGACAATATTGGTGTGCGCGATTGTTTGATATGTGTTTGCTATTCCAACAGCGACCATGTGTAGTTGCACGTAAGCGTATGATGTTCAATCTCAACCGCCTCGCATTTATGCTTTGTATAGTATTCGCTCATATTGTCATGCCTACATGTTGCCTTACATGCCTACATGCCTAGTAATTTATTTGCCTCGTCTACATGCCATGCCTGCCTACGTGCCTTGCCAGTTAGCGTATCCGAGTGGTGTAACTCTCTTGTTGGCTACCGGTATGAGTACAAGTTGTGATCAAACACTCCTTCCATGCTGCACAGTGTATCCGCAGTGCCTGAAGACCTTCCGACATACTCGTTCGTCTTTGTTTGTATACGTAAGCGGCGGTTTCAGAATTTGGTGGCCTTGTGCCGCTCGAGTGTCGGCTTTGAGGCTATGCGAGGTCGTTGCGTGTTGTGTGTAGCAACGGGGGGGGGGGGGGGGAGGGGGTCAGAAATTTGCCTGACCCTAGCGGTCAGTTTTGTTTTCTAATATGCGTATTTTTTACAAACATGAAGCCAGCGGTCACTATGACGCCTTTTGTACCGAAAAGTCCAGCTGAACCAAGTTTTACGGATAGGGACGTGTGTAGCTTCGGCGATTCAAACAAACACTACCATTTTACCCAGAATCGGAGTGTCGCGAGCGTCAATGCGCTAGCGCCTGGTCTACTACCTCGTCTAACATGTCACAGGCACTGCCGCTGCCGTAACTACAGAATGTGCTGAACGGAGCTCGTTGCATTGAACGCGTCCTTTGTGAAGTGGCTCGAATGCAGGCGAGGTCGACCGTATTAGCAGCACTTCGCCTGTGGGTCACACCGTGCTACTGAATATGGCAGAAATGTCACGTATGCAGAATACAGCTCTTACTGAATGACGTTGTTTGGGTCGTGGGTTTCGTGTGCAAACTCAGCAGCAAACTCGCAGTCAGATGTAGTTTAGCTGGTAGCGAATGGATGTGATCGAGGAATGAACACTACAAACTAGCTGCGGCACCGAAAGATGATTTGTGTACGAGTACAGCGTTGTGCAGTGTGCATTCACTTGCAATACTTTGTTCTCCCGTCGGCAGTCATAACTAGTCATAGCTAATACTATGCACCTGATCGAGCTCCCTTTAGTCTCCCGGCCAAACGTTTCAGCTATCAAATAAACTGTATTGATTATAATGATCAAAAAGTCGCCGCCCGCCGGGCCGGTGCGGTGCGTCTCTCGGCAGCCACAGGGCCGGGCCGTCAGAAAGACTTTCTGTGTGCGTCTGCGGCGTCCACGCACAGCACAGAGTAATGACATAAGCACAGGACTGCCGGTCGCGCTCCGCCCCTCTTCCCGCTCTCGCCCGTCCGTCGCTCTCTCCCCACTGACCCGATAATATCAACCGTTCCGTCTGTACCGGCCAGCGGGCGCCGCCTGCCCTCAGGGGACGGCGCCCAGAGGCCGGTGCACGTTCTGGTAACATTTCTGTACACGCTTCACTCCCCAACACAGCAGCATCAAGGGCAGGGGTCACTCGATAGATACAGAAAATCCGGCGAAACAGCCCTCGAACCAGCCGCGCCAGAGAAAGCGCAGCACGGGCTATATCACTGCCACCTGGTGGGGCGGTACAAACTTCAGCCTCACGATCTATCCGTGAGATGTCGCGTAGGTCGCTAGTCTCACCAGGGTACGGCGCGCCACCGGATGGCCGAATCTTACCGCCGTGGCCGCCCTACCGCCGCCTCCTCGAAAGACTGGACACAACCGCCGCGCGGTGTCGCTACTCACTACTTCCCACCCGGCCTCACACTCATCACGGTTAGTTACACTCACAACGGTCGGGCGCGGGGCACATCTCATCGGCGCCGTCTACTATCTACAAAACTACGGAGACCACGACGTCCCGCCGTTCACCGGGGAGGGCACACCGCGGGTAGGCAGTCGCACTTTACACACAGCCTGCGTCGGCAGCGCCCCGACCACCTCAGAACGCATATCACCGGCTTAGAGCCAAGCTGAACCGCGACGCCAGAGAGCGACAAAAAGCAGCGCGACGAAAAACGCTCAGTCTAGCCCACTACAGACAGACGAGCGTTTACAGTAAGAGCACAGGGTTCGGACGCGCGCGCAGGATAATGTGAGAGGGATAGCACACCCCGTGGCGGCGCTGCCCGCGCACCATTCGGCGCAGTGCGTCATTATTGTCACAGCCGGCCCCTACATTCAGCGGCCATGACTCCCTTAGCTGCCTTCTGAACCGACTTCCAGTCCCGCCTCCCTCAGTCATTAGACCTAGTATTGCCATCGAATCGGCACACCAGTGACCACGGTACATCAAGAAGGCAGTCCGAAAAAAAAACATCAAAATTTCCATCGATAAAAACGCGAAGCAGATGCAAAAATTCCAGCATACAAACCATCCCGTCCGCGGCCCTAATCGAACGACACACGATGTAGCGAATCCACCAAACACCTCTCAAACCAGTTCTCACACTGACAGCGGGCATACTTCTGTACACATCACTCTCACAAACACCAAGGCGCGGGGCCGCCGGACGGCCGATGACGGCACGTCATCGTTCTCACTATGACGTCACCCTCCACTGACGCCACCTCACCCTTGTGATGACGCCGCCGACGTCATCATCTTGGCGTCATCGGCGACGGCGCTGCTGCAGAGCGTCTTCTTGACTCTGAGCACGGTGAGCCGGGCGGCGGGGCTGTGGTACCAGCACTCCTTCATCACCTTGGACATGACACGCAGAGCCTGAGGGAGAGAGTGTCGTCAAACTGGGGTAACAGGAAGATAGTACTGTCAAACTGTGGTACCAGCACTCCTTCATCACCTTGGATATGACGCGAAGGGCCTGTGGGAAGGACAGGGACTGCCATCAAACTGAGATACCACATTTCCAATAACACTCTGGACATGATGCCCAGAATCTGGGGAAGAGGCCGCCGTCAAACTGGGTTAACAACACTCTGGACATGACGCACAACGCCAGGCCTGAGGGAGGATGTTGTCACATTCATGGGGTACCACCTCTCTAATAGCGCTTGGACATAATGCGCAAGACTTGGAGGAAGAAGTTACACCCATGAAGAAGCAGCAGCATATGATGAAAAGAAAAGAAACGTGAATTTTGAAACATAGCCCGTCACGGTACCCCGGCAATATACACAAGTGAGCTCCATTACGCTAAACAGCAAGCAATTGATAACGACTTCCTCAGCCTGAGCCTTCAGTATAAATTTTCCTTGGCATAAATGACAAACACCGTAAATTACTTGGACCAGTTTCTCCAAATCCGATTCAAAACTCCCACTCCCCTCCCACCTCATGACCTACTTGAGCTCAGCTAAGCCCTGCCGTCTTCTGTTCTACACATCCTTCCTAGCTTCCCAATTCTCTGCTCAATAAAACCTGTGGCAATCTTGTTCCGCATGAAAAGACACTGCCTACCACAAGACTCACCTCTGAGCTGTGCCACTGGTTCGGTATGTAGGGCCGCTGTCTGTCTGTCTGTCTGTCTGTCTGTGTCTGTATATCTCACCTCTGAGCTGTGCCACTGATTCGGTATGGAGGGCCGCTGTCGGTCCACGCAGACCACTTTGCGCATCTCCTCGAGGCTCGGATCGGAGGGCACCAGGTCGTGGTACGGCGGCTGGTACTCGTGCAGCCCTCCGGCGGTACAGCGACGCGCCACCTCCCAAAGTACCAGACCCAGAGCGTACACGTCGGCACGCTTGAACGATTCGAACTGGCTAGTGTTCATCGTCTCGTCCAGAACCTGAAAGGAGAGGGAAACGTGAGAGAGGGGCTACGGGAAGGCGCAAAACATGGGGGCATGAGAATCACGGGGCATGAGGCAAAGGCACAGGAGGATGAGGAGCAGGAGGAGTAAAACACGGGGAGGAGTGGGACATGGATAGGCATAAGACACAACTGGGAGGAATGGACAAACGATAAAACGGAGAAACGAGGAGACCAGGGCAAGATGTGATTGGAATATCCAAAAATGCGAGGCAAGCTATAAGTGAATGGTGAGGGGATAAAGGAAAAGGAATGATACATAGGGGCAAGCTAGTCTGATCGGAGAGGATAAACTGGGCATGAACGGTTGGTAGGTGTTTCGGCTTGAGAGCAAGAACATGAAGGCATGAGGATTGAGGACGAGGAGGTCGAACATTATAGGTACAACAGAGGACGGACATTGGCCAGATGACAGAAGGCAAAGGAACAGCCGATAGGTGGAGAGGCGAGGCGAAGGAGTAAGGAATGAAGGGCGGTCTTACGTGTTGAAAGAGGAAGGGAGGAGGGGACTGAGTACGTGAGACACGGGGAGAGAGGTGGTGGACACGATGTGTTATTCAAAACGGCAGCTGAAAGTGAGGACTAGGAACACTTGGAATTCAACGCAACGACACCACATCAAAACGTGAGTTTCAAACAAAGCAGCCTCATTTGAAAAGTTCCAAACCAATCAGCTCAGCCTGAGCTAGAGCCTGAAGCAAGATGTGAATCTGAAAGCCACGAAAGGAGAATAAATTGATTTCAAAATTATTGGGTTTCCTAATCTGAAGTCCAACCCTTCGAAATCGAGTGACGTCACTTTCAAAGTGAATCAGACCTTTCAAACTAATACAAACTAAAAAGCTTCGCAGCTTGTGAGAATGATGAAACTCATCATATCGATCAACTCGAGTCGTATAAGCCAGTCCCATTAGAGCGCCATCTACTAAACAGCCTAAGTAGCGAAAGCTCACGCGATAGATGACATTCCGCATTTATATCCGGCCACTCTACATGACAGTTTAATGAAAACTCCACACCAACAAGCAGCAAAGGCTGGGTTGGCTCAGCGCGGAGAAGCTGGCATCTTATCACACTCTCTGTCTCGTACACAAGGTGCGCAATCACGGCGAGCCCCAAGCTTTAGCCGAGGGCTTTGTCACTGTGGCAAATAGGCGCGAAGCCTTGGGGACACTGACCAGGACGACTCGCCAGGACCGCGACCTCTATGTGCCCCGGTCACGTTCCGAAATGGGGAAGAGGTACTTCTGTTGTCGCGGTCCTGCTCTCTTCAACCCACTACCATCGATACTGACTGAGCTACCTGTGACCGTGTTCCCTCACCACCTCAAACGTTACCTATCTGAACCACCGGACTAATGTTTACTTTTATACCGCACTGTGACGTTTTATCGATTTGACCCATTCACCTGTGTGCGTGTATGTTCCACCCCATACTTTTTATGACTTTGTATCTTTGACGAGAGGTGGTAATAGCCACAAGCACTGTCGATCGCCTTAATAAATGTCTATGTCTATGTCTATGTCAGTCCCGTGCACAAGTTACTTCCCTCTCTGACTAGCCTGCACCCCAGCCTTGCGACTTCATTCACGAATAAAGTAGGACATAGCCCCGAGGCTGCTAACACCCGCGAGTTACCCGGCCCCACGTCACCCGCCTACCTCGGGTGCCATGTAGCGTTTGGTTCCGACGCGACTGTTGGGCGCCATGTCGACCGAATCGTCCGGCATGTGTCGCACGGCCAGGCCCAGGTCGGCGATCGCGCACGTGCCGTTACTCTTCACCAGGATGTTCTTCGACTTGAGGTCGCGGTGCGCGATCGCCGGCTTGCCTGAGCGAAAAGTCAGAGGCGAGGTTGAGCATGTTGAAGATGTGGTTTGGGAAAAAGCCCGCACAGACAAGCAATTCACATTCCGAGGTTCAATACCACTGGGACATTTTATACCTGCAACAGGACTATCTTTCGGGAGTCTCATTTGAAAGTAAACATACAATATGACACAAGAAGGTAAACAAGCTAGTCGAATCATTACACGAAAATTAAGATGCTTTTATACTGAAACAGCAGTTTCTCCATCATGAACCAGCCCTCTCTTTGCCCTCACCCCGTGAAGCTTCCCGCCTTCCCTCACCCTGCGCGCCGAAAATTTTCATATGCAGGTGGGCCCTCCTCCCTGTCCCTTCCCTCCCTACCTCCCCTCTCACCCTGTCTTCCCCTCCCCCTCTCCACTCCCGTCTTCCCTCACCCTGCGCGCCGAAAATTTTCATATGCAGGTGGGCCCTCCTCCCTGTCCCTTCCCTCCCTACCTCCCATCTCACCCTGTCTTCCCCTCTCACTCTCCACTCCCATCTTCCTCTCACCCTGTGTGCCGACTATCTCCATATGCAGGTGGGCCAATCCGGTGACAATTGACAGCGCCAACCGGTACATGCCCCGCACGTCGACCGTGGTACGCTGCAGATAGTCAAACAGGCTCCCGTGGCGGTGGTAGTCCATGATGAGCCACAGCTGCGTCCAGGTGCCGTTATCTGACGGTACAGGGGTGGTCACAGGTTACAGACAGGAGGTTATAGACTGCCGTGGCGGTGGTAGTCCATGATGAGCCACAGCTGCGTCCAGGTGCCGTTATCTGACGGTAGAGGGGTGGTCACAGGTTACAGACAGGAGGTTATAGACTGCCGTGGCGGTGGTAGTCCATGATGAGTCACAGCTGCGTCCAGGTGCCGTTATCTGACGGTAGAGGGGTGGCTACAGGTTACAGACGGAAGGTTATAGACTCCCGTGACGGTGGTAGTCCATGATGAGCCACAGCTGCGTCCAGGTGCCGTTATCTGACGGTAGAGGGGTGGCTACAGGTTACAGACGGAAGGTTATAGACTCCCGTGACGGTGGTAGTCCATGATGAGCCACAGCTGCGTCCAGGTGCCGTTATCTGACGGTAGAGGGGTGGTTACAGGTTACAGAATGGGGGTTATAGACTCCCGTGACGGTGGTAGTCCATGATGAGCCACAGCTGCGTCCAGGTGCCGTTATCTGACGGTAGAGGGGTGGTTACAGGTTACAGACAGGAGGTTATAGACTGCCGTGGCGGTGGTAGTCCATGATGAGCCACAGCTGCGTCCAGGTGCCGTTATCTGACGGTAGAAGGGTGGAGGTTAGAAGTCAGCGGTCAGAAGCCGGCGGTCAGAGCGGTTAGAATTTAAAGCCCAGGGTGCCGGGTACTTACAGGACTTCTCGCTACTCGTTCATCGTCACTTCCGACATTCACACATTAACTTAGTGAATGTTTGTCGATGCATCTTTGGAGTTTGGAAACTTCTAGCGCATGTCCCAGCTGTCATGCTATGTACTGGGCTAATTAGTTTCAACTTTCAAGGTCTTGAATGCCACGAGTATGATGAATGATGAGTATGTAATATCTCTGCATTTATTATGAGCCCTATGTCAACACAAATGCCTGTCCATAATGGGTCCGTTCAGGGGTTCAATGGCCAATAAGGCGAATAGCAATCCAGCGAGGACAAACGCACAACAGTTGAGCCGGTTCGAGACAGGACACAAGTCAGACAAGGCATGCCCTTCCACAGCTACCGCAAACAAGGGTGTCTGTGACTGAGCAATATTGAAAGTGTTATCGTCTGAAATTATACAAACTATCTTGTAAAAAACATCCCACATTTATCTAGATAGGTTATCACAGTTGTGGCATGGTTTGTCTGACATCCATGGTTTGTGGATGTCAGACTGCCAAAGCAGTTGAAACTTGAAAATACAAATTACTCTCATCTCCGCCCACAGTGCACCATTACAGCGTGAAATATCTGCCAGCACGTACGCCAGAAACACTGGCGCCCTATAAATCTTTATTACATTTCTCTGTAAGATACAAGAAATATCTTCCGGCTGTCGGCATCACACAAGTTTCTCAAACTCCGAGCAAGCCAATATCACTTAGTGGTGACATTACTGAAAGGTCGAGATAGAAGAGCGGTGTCTAGTTCCATGATTCAGAAACTAGCTTGGCTTCTTTTCGTATCAATGCGTGTTCATTGTTTACCTCAATGATTTTTCGGAACTGTGACTCTGATCCAGAGAAGAGAGCAAGGTTACTGCGGGATAAATCTATTGGCCATATTCGAGCAGAAACAGAGGCCACAGGTAGGTGCGACGGATGAGAAAAGAACAGACCAACCTCGTAAGCAGGGCAAACGCAATCAGCAGGCTGGCACAGAACCAACAGTAAGTGAGAATTGAGAAACCAATGCACGGAGCATGTTGATGGCTCGCGATTTGTTCGGCAGCTGTTTAGGACCCGATTGTTGGCAGCTGTTTATGACCCGAGCCGACGCCGGGGCTGCGGCAATAATGAGCGTGCTTTTTGACTGACTGTGGCTGACTGGACGCACGTGGCTGCTCCGTGCATTGGTTTCTCAATTCTCACTTACTGTTGGTTCTGTGCCAGCCTGCTGATTGCGTTTGCCCTGCTTACGAGGTTGGTCTGTTCTTTTCTCATCCGTCGCACCTACCTGTGGCCTCTGTTTCTGCTCGAATATGGCCAATAGATTTATCCCGCAGTAACCTTGCTCTCTTCTCTGGATCAGAGTCACAGTGCAACACGACAAAATCAACATGGTGGCAGCTTTCTGAATCTGAATTAGGTCTGTGTTGCACGATTTTCCTACTTGTTGCAATTTCTTTCACATCTTGCTTGCTGACATTTTTTTTTTATTCGTGATGGCATCTGATTTTCGTGCCCCGAAACCACTTGATATCCATGCTAAGGGTAATTTGGGGGAGGTATTTCGTCGCTGGGAGCAATCCTACCAGATTTACGTGAAAGCATCTGGTCTTGGTTCGAAGCCCAAAGCTCAGCGACTGGCTATTCTTCTTAACCTTGCTGGGGAGGATGCTATTGAGGTGTACAATCATTTTAAGTATTTGCCAGATGAGGATGCTGATGATCCCGAGGTTGTCTTGAGAAAATTTTCAGAGTTTTGCAGTCCAAAGAGCAACGTGGTGTATGAGCGTCATCGTTTCTGGTCTGTCGACATGACCCAGTATGACGGCATTGACTTTTTTGTGTCCGAACTGCGAACCCGTGCCAAAACATGCCATTTTGGTGATGGGGAGGATGATATGATCAGGGATAAGATTGTTTTCTCTCTACAGGACACAAGGGTGAAGGAAAGGTTGCTTCGAGAGGACAGTCTCACTCTGTCCAGGTGTCTTGACATCATCCGTGCTGCGGAGGAGTGTCGGGCGCAGGCCCGCTCCATGGGTATGAGCTCTAGCCCAAACGCTGTTCATGGTGTTCAGCGTCACTCTACTGCCAGTCAGCCAGCTAGGAACACTGACCAGCCGAGTAAGACCCGTGCTCCATCTCACAGACCCACTGTTGCGAGTTCTCAAACTCGACATACTACTACTGTCCCTACTAGAACTTGTTTGTTCTGTGGCCGCCAGCATGAGCTGAGGAAAGAGAAATGCCCTGCTTATGGCAAGTACTGTGTTGTCTGTGGTGAACAGAACCATTTTGCATGTAGCTCAAAATGTCCTAGGCGTTCTAGAGCAGGAGCACGAGTAAGATCTGTGAACACTTTTGCTGTTGATACTGTTCAACATGAGCACGACCCTGACCCTGCTCCCTCTGACACTGACGATTGTGATGCTGGATGGGTTGGTGCTGTGAGCAAAGAGGGTGAAGGAGATGTCAGTGCACTCATGAATGTGGGGAATCACAGTGTTCGTTTTCAACTGGACTCTGGTGCCACTGTGAACCTTCTCCCACAGAGGTATGTTGATGCTTGCCAGCCTACCTCAAGGACTCTTAAGATGTGGGACGGCTCCACATACTCTCCTCTAGGTGAGACAAGGGTTTCAGTGCTGAACCCAAAGACTGGGTCTAGGCACGATGTTCATTTCTTTGTGTGCCAGGATGACTTTCGACCTCTTCTTGGAGTAGATGCTGTTCAGGAGCTAGGATTGATTCTGGTACAGAGGGACAATTTTGTGTCTTCTGTCAGCTCTGTAGAGATGCAGTTTCCCACTGTGTTTGATGGATCGCTGGGAAAGCTGCCAGGCTCTGTGAAACTCCACGTGCGAGACGCTGTCCCAACTGTCTTACCAGCCAGGAAACTACCCCTAGCTATGCAGGAAAAAGTCAAAGCTGAACTTGACCGTCTGTGTGCGTTGGGTGTCTTGCGTCCCGTGACTGAGCCCACTGACTGGACTAGCCAGATGGCGATTGCTACCAAAAGTGATGGGTCTCTGCGCATCTGTATTGATCCACAGTCTCTGAACAAGGTGCTGTGTCGTGAGAGATACCAGCTACCCACACTAGAGGATGTTTTACCCAAGTTTACAGGAGCTAAAGTGTTTTCAAAGCTTGATGTGTCCAATGCTTTTTGGCATCTGGAGTTGACAGAGGAGTCGAGTCTGTTGACTACCATGACCACTCCTTTCGGGCGGTTCTGCTGGACACGCCTTCCTTTCGGTCTGTGTGTGTCGAGTGAAATCTTTCAGCGCCACTTACATGATGCACTGGAAGGTCTCGCTGGTGTAGTGTGTGTTGCAGATGATATTGTCGTGACTGGCAACACCAAGGCTGATCATGATGCGAACTTACATGCCCTCCTGAAGCGGTGTGCAGAGAAGGGTATCAGCCTGAATCACAAAAAGTGTTCTTTCTACTGTCCTCAGATCTCGTTTCTGGGTCACATCATCACTGCTGATGGGGTCTCCGCTGACCCTGCGAAGGTGGCGGCGATACTCGACATGCCAGAGCCCCAGAACGTCCACGATGTCCGCCGGTTTTGCGGCATGGTACAGTACCTGGCAAAGTACCTACCCTCTCTGTCTGAAGTCGCCAAGCCTCTTCGCGATCTGACACGTAAGGACGCCCCCTGGGTGTGGGGAGCGGCACAGGCGCGTGCGTTCAAACAGATCAAACACATGGTTTCGAGCACTCCAGTTCTTACCCATTTTCGCGCTGACCTTCCTCTCGTGTTGCAAACGGACGCTTCTCAGAACGCTCTGGGAGCTGCTCTGTTACAGAATGGAAAGCCTATTGCCTATGCATCTAGGTCACTGACTGAGTGTGAAAAGCGTTATGCACAGATAGAGAAAGAGTGTTTATCTGTACTATTCGGTCTACAACGCTTCGACCAGTATACGTACGGGCGAGACGTGACAGTAGAAAATGACCACAAACCCCTACAAACCATTCTTGGGAAACCACTGAGCTGCGCCCCGAAACGGCTGCAGGCGATGATGATGGTTTTGCACCGCTACTCCATTCATGTCGTTTACAAACCTGGTTCTGCTATGATACTTGCAGACACTCTCTCGAGGGCGCCCGCTCCGTCCTCTCAGTTGCCTCGCTCGTCTGATCCCGCGTTTGCTCGCTCGTCTGACAATGCGTTTTCCCAAAGTCGTCAGTTTGCTGACAACTCGTCCGCTGACGCAACGTTTTCTAAAAGTCGTCAGTTTGCTGACAACTCGTCCGCTGACGCAACGTTTTCTTGCGCAT